AGTTGAGTACACTCTGGGGCTGATGCAAGAGGTGCAGCGCACGTCGGCCACCCTGCCTCGGCCTTCGAGTCGTCAAGTTGCAAGCACAGTCGTAGCGGCGGCTTTCCTGCTCGAAGCCTGCTAGCTAGCATCAGCATTAGCATTAGCATACGCAGGCTCGGCTTCTCGCCACCGCGCACCCCGATTGCGGAGAGCAAGAAGCAAAATTTGTTTGACCCCTCATCCTCATGCAAACTTATTGACTTTAGGCCCGCGTGCCTGCTCCCTTTGCATTGATGAAATGAAGCATTTCTGATCCAAGCTGCGATACTGCACACTCACGACTGATGAGTCACGAGTGTTTGTTTGCCGTTGATGCCGTTGCCGTGAACGTCACAGATCGTCAAATCACGAATGTGGGGACTCTTTGCGCTTGCTGCGATGTGAATCTCTTCGCAGACGACTGACTGACTGACTGCATTCAGCTCCCCCCCGACACGACACGACACGACACGACACGACACCCGTGCGCATCTCTTGCTGCCCGATATTCGAGGGAATGTCGCCCTTTGCCGTGACACAATTCCACCATATATTGTCGTGTGAGGATCGAGAGATGCGATCGCTGAGCACACGATTCCACGCAAGAAGCGCTCTACGATTCCACGTCTGTCACTTCCTCACACTTGGCACAAGAATCAACGGTCAGCAACTCTGAAAGCCTTGCTTTCACGCTTACCGTCGACCGATCAGAGCTCATCAGCCAGCGTATCCTTCTTCCTATCCATCGGCACCACTCGCTGGCGGTGTGCCGTGCAAGGCGACCAGGGACGCGCCGCTCGCGAGCTTACGAACCACGTTGCGCAATCGTCAGCGGCCCACGACCTTGCTTTGAGCACTTTCTGCCGGCATCATGGGCTCTTTCGACAAGAGTGCCGTCTCGCCCCTGCCCTCGAGCGCCATCGCGAGCGCAGGGGCTCTGTACGATTATCTACAGCCCGTCGTCTACCGCACCTGGACACCCGAGTATTGGCATCAGGTGTACTTCTTTCTCGCCACAAAAGTGAGTGCTGCAGGGTGCCTGGCGAGATCACATCGAGCCAAATACGGATCATCACGCTGATTCTGGCTTTCCTCTTTCCCAAGATCGCCATTACACTCTTCGCAACATTTATGATGACCCGGCTCATCTTCCGCGGTGAATGGTGGTTTGTTCGCAGAGTGCGCGTTCGAAAGGGTGTCATACTGGTTCCTAAAATTACGGACTCGACCATCTTGTTGGGTGGAATCTTCATCGCCACGGATGCAGCATATCGCATCAAGTTCATCCAGTGGTTCAGAGGTCCAACATATCAGAGGCCCCATAACGCCCTCACATTGGAAGCCATGCGGCTGTTTCCAGCTTTCTTGGCCGCCTGGAATCATATGGCCGCCTCGTCCCTCATTTGGCCTCTACGGCCCGCCGATCTCAACCCGTGGCTGTGGCACGCGGGCTGGCTGGGCCTGCCGATTGCCTTTCTCGCCTCATTTCTTCCGCCGATCATCATCTCCGACGTATACAACAACCGGGGTCTCGACATCTACAGCGACACCCTGCTCCCTCTGATCCAGGCTGCTGGCACAACCGGTGTCGTCACGGACGAGATGCAAAGGCTCGCCCTGCAAGTACACGAGCAAATTGCCAACGCCTGCTTCTATATCGGTATTTGGGCTTTGATCGGAGGCATCTGGATCGCCATCCTTGTCATTCCCTACGCCATGATAGCGATCACCCTCTGCTCACGTCTTGCAAGAGCCTACAGGCGCTTGTCCGACGA